CTCTCTCTCTCTCTCTCTCTCTCTCTCTCTCTCTCTCTCTCTCTCTCTCATCCCCTCCTCACCCACAGTGTGCGTCCCCTACCCGAAGACCACCACCACCATCACCGGCATCACCGCAAGCAGGCCCGGCTATGGCCGCTTGCGCCCGCTGCCCAGCAGTGCCCCTCTCACATCACTAGCGCCCATGTGCGCTCTGGCTCGCAGCGCCCTGGCGACCTCCAGCGCGCAAAGCGGCAGCGCTTTCGCCCAGTGGCCGCTTGCCCGAATATCTGCCTGGGCGCAGGGCACATTCCATTCCTGTATGGAATGCGCTGCCCTGCTTCGAGCAGCCTGGGCCTGGATGCTGAGTTCCCAGTAGCTTGACGTTGGGCCAAAGTGTCTGCGCCGAGGCCCATTCAGATAGCGGCATGGGACCACAACAGTTAGACCACGCCCAACTGTGCAATGTGGCTCTCGTCACTCGCTGCTCTCTCGTTGTGTTGGAGCCACGTCGCCTCCTGGAAGAGCCTGGGAGGCTCACGAATCCTTGGTCACACAGCATGCTGGGGCCCCTCAACCAACTGGCGCGTGGCAACTGTCTGGCACACCTTCATGGATTGGTCATAGGGCAGTAGACTGTAGGGATAGGTTAGCTCTGATTGATAGAGTAAGACAGTCAAGTAAGCTAGTAAGGGGGTTGGGAGCAAACCAGGGCACTCGGTTTCTGTTGGTGACCGCAGTAGGTCACAAGGGGAGGTGGGGGGAGAGGGCCCAAAAGTAGGAGGACTTCTGTCCACCCGAGCGCACTAGCCCGGTCTCAGACTAGGCCGTATAGGCCTGTATAAAGAGGTAGATAGATACGTAAGTCAGGAGCTTTGTAGACACGTACCATCATAGGCTAGGATTAGTGGATTAGAAGCCTGCACAGAGAAACCCGTTAAAAGGATCTCTCAGTTCATACACCAATCAGGATAAGGTCTAAGCAATGTTACAACGAGTCACACATCAGGCTAGTGTTCTACACAACTTGAAATCATTAGATATCACAACTTAGGTGAGGCATAAGTGCAGGTCTCTGTTCAGTCTGACGACTGTAAGCTAAACCGGCTGATGCTGCCGGGATAACTCCGGGTTGAATTGTGAGGTCCCCGGCCTCGAACCATCATTTTGGAATATAATTCGACTTCACTTAAAAAAAAAAAAAAAAAAAAAAAAAAAAAAAAAAAAAAAAAAAAAAAAAAAAAAAAAAAAAAAAAAAAAAAAAAAAAAAAAAAGAAAGAAAAGAAAGAATAGGCCTGAAAAAGGCCGCACACGAATAATGCAGGCCCCCGTGTTCACTTAGGGCGGGCACAAGACTTGCAGGGCGGGGGGCCCAAATGTGGCATACTGCGTAGTCCCGCACTTTCAGCCTAAAAGCCTAAAACTTAGGGCTTACAGCCCCCGGTCGTTTCAGCCTGAAAGCTGAAATACGAGGGCCTGCAGGCCCTATTCCGTTTCAGCCTATTTCTGGGCCTTTCAGGCCCAGAGGCTTTTCAGCCTGAAACGGAGGGCCATTTTCAGGCCCTCATTGTGTTCGACCTACCTAAGACTCAGGCACGGAAACAGGGTTTCGGGAACAGGCCAGAAATAGCCTGTTCCCCACGCCAGATCGAGCAGGAGCTGCAGCTGCAGCCCCTGCCTCCCTTCGGCATTGGCAAGAGCAGCCTCCTGGACTGCTCGCCTGCAGTCAGGAGGCACACCCGGTAGTACATAGGAAGTTCTCATGCACTTCCCAGGTAGGGAGTTGTCAGTAGGCACGAGTAGTCTTCAGGATTTGGCCGCAGCACTCAGGAGGAGCGCTGCACTAGTCTTCAGCGCTAGGCAGTAGTCTTCAGCGTTAGTGGTAGTCTTCGGCGCTGGGCGCCCATAGCCATAGCAGTAGTCTCCAGCGCTGGGTGCTAGTAGGTGGTATATCGTAGACTTGGGAGAGATGGCTGGCGGAGGCCAGCGAGACTTACCTGTGGCGCCATAGCTCCAGCTCCATCTTCGAGGTACCTGCATCAAGGCGCCAACTTC